AATGTGCTGACGACCACCGGTCTGAGGAAACTGATGAATGATGAACAAACGAATGCAGAAATTGGGATCGGTGTTGGTTTGATAAAATGGCCCGAAATCAGAATGGACATAGTTAAAAAGCTTTTTTCTCCTGGGAACCATACGATGGCCTCTAACGCATAGGAGAACAATGCAAAACGTGGGAAAATCTCATTGAGGCAGGTTTGCTTGTGGAGAGGAATATACCCTATGGAATATACCTTATGCCATGCATCATAAATCTGGGATACTCTGTTACAAAACAGTCAAAACTTTCAAATTTTTCTTGAAGAAGTATATTACTGAGAAAAGTAGTAATTGATTTGGATGACTGGGATCTTTAAAGTAACTTTGAAGTACGAATCACAAAGTACTGATGGAATGGCATGGCGTGTTTGTGTCTCTTTTCCTGCATCTTGCAAATGCAGTGTACGAATGTATTTAAAATGGCTAACGTAGCACCATTGTTCTGAAGCATCTAAATTTCTCATGAACAGAACAGGGACCATGCAATGTTATGCTCAACATAGAAAGACACCGTATAAATTTTATTTCAAGAGGCAATCACAGTCTGCGGTACTGACAATCAAATGAAAATGGCTGTCCTCCATCTGCGGAGAAATAAAACGTCTTCTATTAATGTGCCTTTTTGCAGCAGTAACCTTTCTTGCAATGCCAGTTTGAGCTGAACCTCCTGCACTCGCTGTGATGGTAGCACTTCGTGCTTGGCTTGTAGCCAAATGGGCAATGATCTAAATTCACAAAGTAACCAGGCTTATGCTACCCTTACTTCTTACCTTCAAGTGCTTGCGCGACGTTCTGGCACACCTTTAGGTTCTTATAGCTGCAACACACGTCCACACCATTGCAGTCGTAATCCGTGGAGCAGGTTTTACGCATAAAGTAAAGTCTGTCCTCCTGCGGACAGAAACGTTTGCGGACATCTGAAGCAAGGGAACCATGGTAGCTAATCATCACTAAGAAAAATTTGTTTTGCTTACTATCCGGATAGAGGCACTTGTGACCCATTTCGAGGGGACAGCAGATACGTTCGTCCTTGCAGGTACTATTCTCAGGCTTGCATTGTTCCATGTGCGGCATATTTTTCATAATACGGTCCGGAAGTTTTGGACAGTTACTTTTCTTGACCTTTTTAACTGAAAAATTGTTTCTTAGTACAATGTTAGATGATACGGATTTACTCGGTGAATAACTTCAATAGCTGCTTAACTCGCATTAACCATAATCTATTGTTTCGGTGCATTTTAGTACATTTTATGTACTGAAGCTTCTTCGAAACATATGCTCTACAACGCCGTTAAGGATAACATCTTATTCGTTGACTTCCATGGTATTTTGTTTATTTCCAACCAGATTAAATGGCTACTAATCATTTCATAACACGTAGAGATATAAAACTGACAGTGAAGTCTGGCTTTAGAGGAACAATACGCCTATTAGCAACTTCAGAGAATGCATCCATATGATGAGGCAAATAAACAGTGCTTGGTGGTAGAACATCATCAGTGGAGATCAGCATTTCACAGCGGTCAGTAAACTGAGTTAGGCGCATGCAGCCATGACGAGTCGTACAGGATCGATGAGGCTATAGATTGCTCCATCGAGTTCTGGATTACATTTGAAAATATTTTTGCCACTGATTCTGAATATTTTTCTCGTTCGCCAATTGACCTCTTCAGTTCTTTCTTTAAACCAGATAGCACTGCCTCGTGTTCGTCTTTCTCTAGACTTCTGTTTTGCAGAGAATATGTTTTCTTTCTCTGCGTCTAGTTTTGCGCACCATCTGAGGCATGATCACGACCTTACTTTGTCTACGATGTTTTGATTCCATCTTAGTTACGGCATATTTTATTTTGCCCTCTGAGCCGGTTCGCACAACTGTTTATGATTTAACGCGAACTTGAAAATGAGACTATGACAAAAGTTACAGTAGGGAACATGCGAAACCTTAACCCGTGATATTGGCAAAATGATTTTTGCGAGAGACCACTGGAAACAACTCATGAAAACCTGTTCCTCATGGTATTTCGGTCATCGAGTATCATATCGCGTCGTCGTCGCCCGGGTTACCAATGGCCGCTCAGACCAAGATTAACCTGGTGCAAATATAAAGAAAGCGCTTGCTCTAGACTCCGGTTGTCTTCCGCCAAAGCTGAGACCCTGACAAAGGATCGGAAACGCTGGAAGCACTCTCTGACGCATCCGCCTCTGAGACCCGAAAG